GCCTGGACTCGTGGACCGGAAGCCGAGGTTGGCTGAAAACGGACGGGGTTTCTCAGGTAACGATGACCCGATGATGACGTTTTCATCTTTCACTCTTTATTTACACACACACACACACTTCCACTAGCGTAATTAACAACTTCTGGAACATTCTGGACTCTCTGAGTCTTCACGTCCAAACCCGTCGGTTTTTTACGGTCACACGTCACGGATTTAGTTTTTTTATTTTTGTAAATACAAACTCGAGCTCTACGTCTGTTTTTCAAGGACAAATCTGGACAAAAATACATATAAACATTTAAATTTGGCTTCAACATGTAGCTTTTTTGGCTAAATGTTGTTTTTTTTATTTTGTTTTGTTTTATTTTCCTGACGTGTCTCTGTAAATGGAAACTTTTGTTGTGATTTTTTTTTCAGATCCAGTTCAGTTCGCTGACTGTAAACTTTGGTCCAGACTTTCATTTTTTAGCTTCTGTGTTTTGTTGAACACAGAGTCTTGGAGCCAAAGGTTTGATTTAATATTTTCTTTTTTTAAAACGTATCTGGTTTTAAGAGACAAAGATATATTGAGATAATGGACATTCAAGATGTAGAGTGAGTTGGTGAAGAATATTTTTTAGTGTTTATTTTATTTTGGAGACAGATATTTTCTGATGTGAATTCCATTTTCGTCCAGATCTTCTCTAGTTCTGAAAAAAAAAAAATTTAACCTTCAGGATGAACCTCGGTTGTTTTTATCATCCTGCTGTTTCATTTATTCAATTATTTTTTTTAATATTTTCAAATTAAGACATCATTTTATGACGTGAATAATTTTTATTTTCTGTTCTTTTTTCTTTCCTCCTGTCAAACAAATTCAGATTATTTACCTGCAGGACGGAGCCTCATCAACTGAAATAATTATAAAGTCCTTATTACTCACAGTTTCTCTCTGTTTTTTTTTTTCTTCACGCTGAGCCGGAGGAGTTTTTAAATCCAAAAAGTCAAAGTGGAGTTCTCCTCTTGTACTTTAATGAACCTGCTTTGTGTAAACTGAGTTCTATTAGCTGTAACAGCGGGGGGGAGGGAGTGAGGGAGGGAGGGTGAGGAGGGGGGACGTTAATACCTTTAAACCTGTAAACAAGGTGAGCGCAGTCTCAGACAGGCAGCGGGGTTTATCAGGTGTGAAAGTGACGATGATTAAAGTGGAAGTGGAAGTGGAAACCTATAAAAGTTTGATGGGAGTTGATGTGACACTGGTCCTGTTTAATTAACGCGCGTTTGAAGTTTTTTATTTTTTTTTATCCCAGTCTTTCACCGGAAACGGGGACTTAACATCTGTGCAGACTGAAAAACTACCGTATAGTTTAGAAAGTGACGTCACTTCAAGACGACGTCTGTGTCTGTTGACGTCACGACAGTTTTACCTCGACGTTGAGCTCATTTGGTTCGAAGTGATCGTTGATTCGATTATTCGGTAATTATAATAAAATCGTTATTTCTAACGTAAATATCGATCTTGATTTACCGCAGTAATCGATAGAAACTTGGCTGTAAAACGACACCGCTGAAGTGAATTCACCGTAACTTTAATTTGGTCGTTAAAATAACGTGAAAGTGTTTGTTTTGTTCCGTCAACAACAAATGAACCGAAAAACCTTTAATAGAAAATATCGCACGGTTCGGTTGAGCTCGGTTCTTTTTGGGCATATCGAAGTAGAACCACAGTTAGTGTCTAATATTTGTTATTCAGGTCTCACCGTGATGTTTACAACACGTGGAGAGTTTAAATAATCACGGTATTTTGACCGAATCACGATAAATATTTTGATTTGATTGATCGTGCAGCACCTTGATCTGGAACTATTTTATTTATAAATCTAACTTTAACTTATCTTTTCTTTTTTTTTAGACTGTGCTTCACCGTGTCTGGTCCATTGATGTCAAACACGTGGTCTGCGGCCTGATTCATCTCACGTCAAGTAAGTCAAATCTGGCACCAAAAAGGTTTGTGTGGAATGTGACGTAAATTTTGAAAAATTATTAAGAAAAAAAAATTAAATATTGTTTATGTTTTTCTGGAACATATATGTGAAAACAGGTTTTCAACTTCTTTGTCCTTTTTTTAAATGAAACATTTTAACAATGACGCCCCCCAGGGGTGCGTTTAAAAATGTAAACCCACAGTTTCAGTTGTACAGAACCTGTAGTATTTGTATTTTTGTGTATTTATATTTTTTTATTTATAAACTGATATTTATTAACAACTGATAAAATAAATTTATCTGAATCTGATCTGATATTAGACATAAATGGTTGAAAATCCCTCTTCACACACATTTATATTTTATTTAAATAATAATTGTAATAATAGCAAAATTATATACATATTAAAACATATATCGTCGCATCGTTCGTGATTTTTGTCCCATGGAGTTCAATGACTTTGACACTAAACAGTTTCCATTTTTATTTTGCTGATAAATTAAAATAATTGTCTTTATTTTTATTTTTTTTTACTTAACATCTGTGCAGATTTCTGGGTTGTTTTTGTTTTTTTTCTTCCCCTTTAACTTGAGAACAGAAAATTCTGACCGTGTCTCGAAAACAAAATTCCTCTCAAATTTGTCTTTAAACGGATCATAGTCACAAAAAAAAAGGATGAAATCGATTGTTGCGGCAGCATTAGCGCCACACTCTGGTGGAAATTTCAGACACGGTGAAGTGACTGCAGTGTGAAATGAAGGATTACTCTGAAAAGTACGGCATGTACTGCAGTACTCCACACGCTGCGGTGTGACCAGAAAAGAGCATTGAATGACGTGTTCACTCCACGTCACCTCTGACCTTTTACCCCAGAACTTTTTTTTGTTTTTGTTTTTCTTTTGTTTTGGACAAAATCTTTGCTCGACTCCACCGGAAACGGAAGTTTCCGTTTTGCTATTTTGATTATTGACTTGTTTTTTTTTTTAACTTCACTCTCATTTATTATACAGTTATTTAATGACGACATTGTGATAAAATATTTAAATGTAAAATTAGTCACGTGATACCGTGGACTTCAATATAAGGTTATGTTCTAAAAAAATACAAAAAGGAATAAAAAATAATTATTTTAAAATTTGAATTTGGAAAAAATGTCAAAAAAGTTAACTAAATTAGAATAAATATGTTTTATCTTTATCCAGTAATACATGTACAGATGTGTACTGTATATATGCAGCCTCCTCTTCCTCCTCCTCCTCCTCGTCCTCCTCCTGCAGGAGGTGCCGTGTTCTCGGAGTGATGACGTGACGTGTTCAAACCACCGGTTCTCCCCACAGTTTATCTGCATGGTTAATAACCACCGTGCTGTTGTCAGGAGTTATCACTTCACATTAAAGGAGAACCATCAGATCGTAGCTCTGCACGTCCTCAGATTTACGACGGAGGCGTAAAGTGGAGGAGAAAATGATATCCGCCCTCAAGAAAAAGCTTTTCCTTTTAAGATTTTTTAAAGTACTTTACGACAAGGATTCAGAAATGTCGTATATTTTTAAAAACATGTCACCGGTGACGTCTGCGTTTTTATGAACAAAACAAACATCTAAAAACAACAACAAGGTCAAAACAGTCAACAAACAAACAGACAAAAAAGTGAAATAAATAATAATAATCATAATTATACAATTCTAAATCCAGTGAAATATTTGACTATAAACTAGTAGTTATTTGTTTTTATTGTTTTTTAAATGTTACTCCATCCATTTATATCCTCTCACACAGTGATAAAATATTAATACTTTTATAAAAAGAGAAAGAAATGACAAAATCAACAGAATTTAAACCACAGATACGTGGAATAATAATTATATAAATTGTTTATAAATTCATTGTAAATGAGAAAAAAAATCAAAAGGAAATAAAAGAAAAAATAATAATTTTTATATGAACTAATTTTTAAAAAATCATAGGTTTGACGAAGTATTAAAATATTTCAAAAACATCAACAGTTTTATTTTTAAAAATTAAATAAATGACCTCTGTATCGCTCTTTATCTTTCTATCATTTATGTTCTATTTATATTCATTATATTTTTTATTAACATTTTAACTGTTTCACTATAAAATTTAAACGTTGATTTCCCAGAATCCTTTGCCCTCATACAATAATTAGTCTGAAGAAGAACGGTTTGTGACCTAGCCTTACAGCAAGAAGGTGGTTAGTTTGATCCCCGTCTGTAGCGGTGTCAGTGAAACTACAACGTCACTGGTCAAACTTTTTTATTTTCTCTCCTTCCTTCCCTCTCTCTCACCCCCCCTCCGCCTCCTCCCCCCTCCCTTTACAGCTACTTGTTGCCACCTCCACTTCCTGGCACGGCCGTGTGACATGTGGCTGGGGCAACAGGAGGGAAAGGTCACTCAATGAATTGGGCAAGCTGCGCGGCTGCCGGCCCCCGTCTGGACCACTCTTCAATATTTACCTTTACATTTGGAGTCGACTCCACTCAGATGAGGGAGGAGGGGGGAGGGAGGGGTGAGTGTGACTGTAACAGCTGACATGCAGTGAAAGGTCACACTGGGGTCAGAGCCCGAGTCAGGCTCCGTGCTGGCGTGTAACGTCATGTCACGGCAGCACGAACTCCACTCTGCAGAAGGAGAAAGAAAATCAAATCAATTGTTCCTCGTGTCACGATTGTGAGGCTCTGGGTCGGACCACGCTGACCACCATGATCACCATGATCACGCTGACCACCATGACCACCATGACCCCCGACCTTTATGAGGTCACACAGCGCCTCAAGGTTGAAGAGAAACTGGGTCATAATTTCACTGTTCAGAGGTCGTCTGTGGGCCACAGAAAGATTCCTGACTGGACTGGACTGGACTAAACAGGACTGGACTGGACTAAACAGGACTGGACTGGACTAAAATGGACTGGACTGGACTAAAATGGACTGGACTGGACTAAACAGGACTGGACTGGACTAAACAGGACTGGACTGGACTAAACAGGACTGGACTGGACTAAAATGGACTGGACTGGACCAGACTGGACCGGACTGAACTGGACTGGACCGGACTGGATTGGACCGGACTGAACTGGACTGGACCGGACTGGACTGGACTAAAATGGACTGGACTGGACTAAAATGGACTGGACTGGACTAAAATGGACTGGACTGGACTAAAATGGACTGGACTGGACCGGACTGGACTGAAATGGACAGGGGGAGGAGGGGGAGGTAAAATCAGCTACAAATAAAATCAAACACTTAGACGATTAGACCGGGTTTTTTTTTTTTCTTCTTCTTCTGTATTTGTGTATTTTATTGGTATTTGAAGTTATTGCAGTATAATCTGTGTACTGCGTGTACAGAACGAGGCACGGGGGGCGGGGGGGGGG